TTATGACCAGAAACTCTAGTAAATTGTTGACCAGAGGCTTTGGGGATATACGTCCTTGTGTTGTTGATGATCTTAGGGCAAAAGCATCTACTCTTTATCATCAAATATGGTCTCAGCTGACATTTTTCTGTACATGCCATTATATGACAGGAAACTCCCTAGATTTTTGTTGAATTTTTTTAAAAATGAAAGATGCTGGATTTTTGTCAACATTTTCTTTCAAATCTATTCAAATAATTGTAGACAAATTTCTTCCTTTGATGTGGGATAGTACAGTGGTTTGAAAATTAAGCCAGTCTGAGGGTTATGGTTCATGTCTATAATCCCAGTATTTGGGAATCAGAGACAAAAAGACCAGAAGTTTAATGTCATCCCCAGCTATTATAGTGATTTTAAGGCCACTCTTGGCTACTTGAGAACTGTCTCAAATCAAAATAAACAAACCATGGAAAAAGAAAAATTTAAGCCAACTTTGTATCAGGGGATAAACTGTATCAAGATGCTGTATTTGGTTTGCAGGATTTACCAAGGATTCCTGTGTCCATATTTATTAAAAGACACTACTTCCCTGCCCCTGCTTGTTTCTTCTCTTTCTTAAATTAAGCCACAATATCATGCTTTCCATATACAATACTACACCTTAGAAAACTAGCAATTTAACTGGGTAGTGGTGGCACAGGCCTTTAATCCCAGCACTTGGGAGGCAGAAGCAGGCTTATCTCTGTAAGTTTGAGGCCTGCCTAGTTTACAGAGTGAGTTCCAGGACAGCCAAGTCTGTTACACAGAGAAGAAAACTATCAAAAAAAAAAAAAAAAAAAAAAAAGCCTTGCGATGGTTGACGGTGGCACACACCTTTAATCCCAGCATTTGGGAGGCAGAGGCATTGGATCTCTGTGAGTTTGAGGCCAGCCTGGTTTACAGAGTGAGTTCCAGGACAGCCGGAGCTGTTATACAGAGAAACCCTGGCTCAAAATCAAACCAAAACAACCAAATAACAACAACAAAAAAAATGCCTTGCTAGCTTTGCACAATGTCACTATTGTAACCAATGAGGTTTACTTGAGGCTCGATTATTGCTAATTGAAAACCTTTTTGATGATGAGATAATAAAGATTTTAAATATCAAAAGAAGAAAGAAAGTACCTGCTGGGTGTGAGTCTTAGCAGTCAGAGTGTTGAAGTAAAGGGTTCCTAGTTTGAGGGCTGCCTGATTATACAACGAAGCCTCAAACATTTTTGCCACAGATTTAAGTCAGGGCTCAGATGTTCTTCAAGGAACATCTTAAAAAGATCTTTGTGTGGTCTAGGGGAATGAGGGATTCTGAGCATTAGAAAAGGTGCTGGGGGCTGGAGAGATGACTCAGTGGTTAAGAGCACTGAGCACTGACTGCTCTTCCAGAGGACCCAGGTTCAATTCCCAGCACCCCATGGCAGCTCATAATTGTCTATAACTTCAGTTCTAAGGAATCCAACATCCTCATACAGACAAACCAAAGTATGAAATAAAAATAAATAAGTCATTAAAAAAAAGAAAGAAAAGGTGCTGGAGAGTGTAGGTTGGAAGGAATATACTGAATAAGAGAGAACAAAAAATGAATTTATTTTCAGGGTAAAACTCTTCTTCTGGAAATCAAAAACAAGACTCAGGGTGTGTTTTGCTCCAGATGCCAGACAAGCAAAGGAAGAGGCTAGAAGGGATCATCCTTTGGCTCAGAAAAGCTCAATGACCACATATCACTCTTCAGCAGAAAAAAAGCCATCTCACATCAGATATCTGGCCACAAAGTGCCATGTGGAACCCTCACTTCTCTAATCCTGTCCCTTTCCTTCCTTCCTTCACTTCCTTCTGTCCCTGGTGAGGGTGAGTTTCTCAATCTTGGGTTTTCTCCAGGGTGTCTTGTACCTCTCATTTCAACCATAGATCAACATGTTTCCTCTCTAGGATACTGGGTGCCATCCAGAAAAACATATATCACGGATGTGGATGTTGACACTGTAAGTGGGACACATAGTCTCTAGTCTGTCTAACCTCCAAAGTTTTCTAGGAACATCTTGTTCAGCCTTAGTGAATGTGCTATTTCACGTTGTTTTCTGTGTCTTTATGGTAGCAATACCCAGCCCTACACCCATTCCTCTCTTTCAATCAATCTCCCAGTAAAGACTGGCGCGGAGCACTTGCTGGGATTCACATAGACCCTGGGATTCATATAGGCTCACATTGGGGGCTGGGATTTAGAGCTGAATAAGGGAGGCTTCTAGTCTCGTTGAGCTATGTTGTTTCTCACAGTTGCTTGACCACTCTATGCGTCTCCCATCAGCTAGCTCTCTGTAGGTAGTGAGGGAATACAGCATGGGGAAAGCTGCCCATGTGGAAGGCTCACATGCCTTACAGTGAGAATAGATGCTGGGATGGAAAAGAAGATTAAGGGTTAAAACGGCCGAGTTTAGAGCACTAACAAAGATGAATAAGAGGGCTTGTCACAGGGTGTACAATAGTCAAGGGTCAGCTAGGTGGGGATGGCACAGGCCTTTTTAATCCCAACACTTGGGAGGCAGAGGCTGGAGGATCTCCGTGAGTTCGAGGCCAGCGTGGTTTACAAAGTGAGTTCCAGGGCAGTCAGAGCCACCTAGAGAAACCCTGTCTCAAAAAACAAAACAAAAAAGAAGGACAAGGATCTGGGCCAGTCTGTACTCCTCCCAAATACCTTACCTCACTCTGAAGCCTTTGATGGACATATGTAAGGCACGATTGGCCTTTTATATATTCTTCTTCTAATACAGCTAATTGTTAACAGACTAAATCGGTAAGTAAAGATATCTTAACAAGAAGCTTCCATCTAGGAAGCTGCTCCATAGACAAGGTGCTACCAAGAAAGACTACAGCCACATCTCTTGAAGATTGGGTAGAGTAAACTTTCTGTCACGGTAAAACTACAGGCTGTGTAATTGCAATTCAGTTAACTGCAAGGTCAGAGGGTAGTAACAAATGCCTGACAGCAACTCAGTGAAAGCTTGAGTTAGAGAAGCTTCAAATACCCGTAGCTGGGCAGGCAGTGCAGGAGCAAGACAGGACCATCTTCCTGATTGGGCCAGGAAGGACATACATAATGTGTGCTGTTCATTGGCTTGACCTATGATATCTCAGAATTAACTATGTCCAGCTTCTGCCATTACTCTATAAGAGCTCTGGGATGGGACTGGAGAGATGGCTCAGTGCAGAAGAGTACTTGCTGCTCTTCCAGAGGACCCAAGTTTGCTTCCAAGTCCCCATGTTGGATGACTCACCACCTCTTGTAATTCCAACTCTGAGACCCTGTGTTCCACTGGCATGGCACACAAATGACATAAACATAAGCATATAAAAGCTAATATTTCTTTCTTTTTTAAAAAATTATTTATTTTTATGTTCATTGGTGTTTTGCCTGCATGTATATCTGTGTGAGGGTGTCAGATTGTGGAGTAACAGACAGTCGTGTGCTGCCATGTGGATGCTGGGAATTGAACCCCAGTCATCTGGGAGAGCAGTCAATGCTCTTAACTCTGAGCCATCTCTGCAGCTCCTAAATAACATTTCTTTAAAAGAAAGAAAGAAAACAGAAAGCCATGGACAAAGGAAATTCAATGGCCTTTTCCCCCTTGGATGCCCCTCCCAATTTTGGGGGGTTTCTCTCTTTTCCTCTCTTTCTCTCCCTCCCTCACTCCCTCTCTCTCTCTCTCTCTCTCTCTCTCTCTCTCTCTCTCTCTCTCTCTCTCTTTCTTTCTGAGATAGGCAGATGGGAACAATGAGGTTCACTTCACCCAGACTGGAGTGGACCAGAGGAGACTGGGTCTAAATAGACTGAAGAAAACCAGAGTCAGTCCAGGAATTCACTGCATTCATCTCCTTGAGGGCAGTCAGTGTTCAGTAAATGACTGTTTGATAAATAAAGCATGTAGCTGGGTGGTGGTACATGCCTTAGTCCCAGCACTTGGGAGACAGAGGCAGGCAGATCTCTGTGAGTTTAAGGCCAGCCTGGTCTACTGAGCCAGTTCCAGGACAGGCTCCAAAGCTACAGAGAAATCCTGTCTCAACAGAACAAAAATGGCCTTCGGGTTTATTGCCTTTGGCTCCTGAAAGTTGGGGATCAAACAACCCTTTCACAGGAGTCACCTAAGACCATCAGAAAACAGATATTTATATTATGATTCATAATGATAGCAAAATTACAGTTATGAAGTAGCAACAAAAATAATTTTATGGTTGGGGGTCACCACAACATGAGGAACTGTATTAAAGGGTCACAGGGTTAGGAAGGTTGAGAACCACTAGTTTAGAGGACCAGTTAGACTATCTTGGTAGGGAGTGTGGCAGCATGCATGGTTCAGTAAGATGAGAGCTCATGTCTGAGCTAACTGGGTGTGGCCTAGGCTTTTGAAACTTCAAAACCTACCCCACAGTGATACACCTCCTCCAACAAGGCCACACCTCCTAATCCTTTGCAGTTTTACCACTAGGGATCAAATATTCAAACATATGAGCCTGTGTGGGCCAATCTCATCCAAACCACAACTACTACTATTCAACTGTCTTTAACCCAAGTGCCAGCAATCTGTTCAGAAAGCCCTACTGTGAGTTCATTGTCTCCCACAGCCCAAGCTTGAGAGCACTCCTTTGTTCCTTCCCACCCTGCAGCTCTTCCTTGAGGGGAGGTAGGATTTCTAGGGAGTTGGAGAAAGTCTAAGAATGAATTCTTCCTCTAGCACTGGACCTGATGAGTTGCAGATACTCAGTAAAGATCTGTGGAGTGAATGACATGGACTCATAATTATTTAAACTGGGTGCAAGGCACATCCCTTTAACCGAAGCACTCTGAGGCAGAGGCAGACAGAACTCTGTGAGTTTGAGGCCAGCCAGGACTACATAGACAGACTGTCTCAAAAAACAAACAACAACAAGACTAACAAATTATTATTTTAAAAATATTTATTTTGTGAGCACATTTGTATGTATACACACCACACACACACACACACACACACACACACACACACACACAGTGTTATAGCACGTATGTAGAGGTCAGATGGACAACTTTCAGGAATGAGTTCTTTTCCTCTGTGTGGATCTTGAGGATCAAAATCATTCATGTACACTGCCTTTCTTCCCGTACCTCGTGGTTTAAGATTTTAATAACTGTAAGGCAGAGGATTTGTTGATCAAGAAGTTCTGATCATCCTGACCAGGAACCTCACTAACCAGGACAAGGTAAATGTTGCTTTTTCTCCATTTGGCATTAGGCAAAAAGGCCGGTTCCTTGGAGCACAGCCAGTGTTCCTGACACACTCACTGCCAGAGATAAATGCACTGGGGCCGTCACTACACCAGAGTCATACTCCCCGGAATGGGGTTCAGGGTTTGAAAAGGGGTTTCCTTTAAGTAACAGTTTATCCACCTTGGGCAGCTCATCTGGCCTAGGTTTCCTATCCAGCCGGTTGTAACTGAGATCAAGTACGCTGAGCTTGGCTGGAAGTCCCTTAGGTACGTGCTCCAGTTCAGTGAAAGACAAATTGAGCGAGTTTAGCTTGCTAGGCCAGTCACACCCCGGAGCACCTGCAGTATCCCGCAGTAAATTGTGACTAAGGTCCAGTCCTTCCAGCTGCACACCTGCCACGGCCAGTGCAGAGCACACACCGCTGGGCGTCTCCACCCCTGCATTGCGCAGTACTAAAACTTGGAGGGCCGGAAACTTGCTTGGACATAGAGCCGAGATGAGTCCTCTCTCGCCCAATTCGGGATTGTCAGACAGATCTAAAGTGACTAGGGCGGGGAAGACTTGGATCTGTTCGCAGGAAAAGTTTAGTGAGTGTGTCTGAGCAATCTTCAATACCTTGAGTCCAGGCTTTAGCCACTGCTGCAGTTCTGCGAGCCAGGCATCCCCTGTCGCCCACGACACGTTGCTGAGGCTCAAGGTGTTGAGATCGGGTCCGGTGGCTTCCAGAAGCGGCCGCGTGGTGCCGGTTACCTCCAGGTTTTCAAGAGTTAGTTCCTTGAGGCGGGAATACCCGAGCATACGCAGGACTCCGAATAGCATCTGAGCAGGAACCCGCGCATCCCCCACAGTAAGCCGCTGCCAGGGCAGGGACCTGACCACATCTGCAAACTGCCCCGGGTCTGCTTCGGTGTTCACACGCTTTAGAAAGTGCTCCAGGCTGCGGCCGCCACCGTAGAATTCCACGTCCTGCGCCCCGGTACACAGGAAAGCGTAGGACCAATCCGGCTCCGGATCTGAGAAGTTGCAGGAGCATTGGACACTCTCCTCATCCAGCACGCAGGGCTCTGGCGGGTCCGGAGAGGCATGCGCCAGCGTCAGTAGCAACAGCAACAAGCCAAGCACAGGCTCCTGTGGAGACAGCAGTGATCAGGGAGACTCCAGCCAGTCCCCGGGGTTCCTCAGGCGGGCCCGGTTCCCACCCCAAGACCGTCTGACTCACCATAGTTGATAGACTCTGAGAGTTTCTACGGCCCACTTGTACGGCGGTGTTCTCTGGCTTCCACGTACTGTGTGCGATTGTTGTCCTCTTTGGTGGCCCCCGTGAGTTTATGTAATCGTGGGATGTCTGTCACCCTGTCCCCTCCTCTGTGAACTCCAATCACTTCACCACTTCTCTTCCTCCTAACAGTCCTACTCACGTCTAGTAAATATTGCAACGAAGTATTGTACAGGGAGGCACCAAAACAGGAAGAATTCTTCATGAAATTAGGGCACTCTGTGCCAGGAGGATGACCTAAGCGCCTTACGCTAGTCTGGTACATGCTGGAAAAGGATGAACCACAACAGCGCCTTAATCAGTATTCTGTGCCCAATCCCAGAGATCCAACTCCACGTCCCCTAGTCTTCGTTTCTAACAATTTCCCACCATCCAAATCTAAGTCCTTGATTTTCTTCAAGAATGTGACTGGACCTTTGTGGAAAGATTGTGAACTTATCTATGGATTCCAGAGGAAGAATGAAGTTCAAGGTTGAGAGTTAGCATGAAGAAAAACTCACTCTTCTCTCCATCTTATTCCCTTGTTTGATAATTAATTTTCCTCCCACTCTCCCTCTTTCTCTTTCTTTCTTCCCATGTTCTCTCACTCTAGTAGTCCAATCTGGCCTGGAACTAACTCACTGTGTAGCTCAGGCCAGCCTTGAACTCATGAGCTTCCTCCTGACTCTGCTCCCCAAGTGTTAGGGCTACGGTCATAAGCCACCATGCCCAGCTTGTTTAATATTTTTTTTTTTTTTTTTTTTTTTTTTTTGAGACAGGGTTTCTCTGTGTTGCCCTGACTGTTCTGGAGCTCACTCTGCCTACCTCTGCCTCCCAATTGCTGAGATTAAAGGTATGTGTCACCATTGCCCAGCTAATACTTTTTTTTTTTTTTTTTTTTAATAGCTAGCTAGGCTAGTGGCACATACCTTTAATCCCAGCACTTAGGAGGCAGACACAGGTGGATCTCTGTGAAGTAAAGCCCATCCTGGTCTACAAAAAGAGTTCCAGGACAGTTAGGACTTTGTTTAAAAAACAGAACAAAGTAAAATGTGTTTTTTGGAGATACATTGGCCAAATCACATTGTCATGTACAGCATCCCTCAAATTGGGAAGCAAAGTTTATTATTATCATCATCATCAATAAATAATTATTACTTTATTACTATTACTATTTTGAGATGGTTTCACCATATCCTGGTGGTCTAGGACTCACTATGTAGACCAAAACTAGAACTCACACAGATCTGTCTGCCTCTGCTTCCTAGGATTAAAACCATGTGTCATCTACAGCCAGCTACAGAAAGGTGTTTTCTAAAGCAGTTTTCCCTGTAGGACACCCCACATGTCCTCACTTTTTTTCTTGTCTTGACCAAGAAATTCAGAGTACCTTGACAGCCTGTCTTAACTAGATGCCCGTTATTTTTCTGAACCCAAGCCAGGGCCTTGGCCAACCTGGGCATTAACCAAGGTATTTAGGTTGTTAAAAAAAAACACTGAAGGAGACCAGCCACAGTCCTTACGCTTCCAACCCTTACATAAATGTTCTGTGACATTATGTAGGAGGAACCTCTCTCTCTCTCTCTCTGTCCATTTTGAGGATGCTGCAGCCCTGTTTTGGTAGGTAAGTTCTTCAATAAATGCTTTAAATGGATCATCCTAGCATTTAGTGCTTTTTCCTTTGGAAACCCAATGACCCCATTGCTAAAGGTTGGCAGCACTTCCTGTGAGAGGAAAAGAATCAAGTGTCCCAGAGGTGGAAGACTGCAACCCATAGAATTATAACAGCCCTCACAGATTTGTATCCCTAGACTTCTGGGGGAGTGTCCTGTTTGGGAATTGTTTGATGTGTATGTATTTTAACTCTTTGCTCTTTACTCTTTGGGGGGCCTGCCACCCAGCTCCTAAACAAACACATTGAGACTTACTCTTTCTTAGGAATGCCTGGCCTTAACTTGCTTGTTTCTAGTCAGTTTTTCTTAACTTAAATTTTTCCATCTACCTTTTGTCTCTGGGATTTTATCTTTCTCTATTCTATATACCTTTCTTTACTTCTTACATCTGGTAGTTGACAGGTCCCAGAGAGGAGGCAAGGAGTTCAAGAGGGAAGGATGAGCCAGGCATGATGGTCTGGAGGATCTTGCAGCCTGACTGACTAGTGGTCAAAGTGTTTACTTACAGAATTCAGTAAGCAGGGATACATTTGTGTTGTTCCAAAACATATATCATATCATTTTGTTTTTTGACATAGTTTACTTCTTCTTGCACATTTTTTAGTCATCATTGATAAACCGTGACAGAACAGTTATTTTTTACAATCATTTCCCTCAAGTTTATTCGTCATTAATACAGTTACCTTTTATAACCATTTTTACTCATCAACCCCATAACCCATAGAAACATATGACAGCCTGCTCTCTCAGGCTAGTAGCTTTTGTGGCTTCAAGGACCCTAGACCAAAACAAAATCTTTGAGCCAACCCAGGCAGATTGGCATGTCCCAAGCAGTGTAGTATTATTAACTCTTAATGGTCAGAGTGCTCAGGAAAGATCCTCAGGCCAAAGCTGCTACAGTTATTATTTAAATTCTGGCATAATATATCTTTATAGAATTTGTTTATATGTCTAGTCCTGGCATTCTTTTGTTCTTTGGCCATAAGACATCACAGTGGCTCTACATGTGCTAACTTTTCTAAGAAAAGGAGGTCCTGACAGCTCATTCTTTTATCATTTTTCTACATCATTCTTTGCCCATCAATATAAGCCTCTGTGTAGGACAGAGGTAACTTCAGCTAATCTATCTTTGTTGCTGTATATGCCATGTAATTGCTTGAGTGTACAGCGGGAAGAGGCTTGTAATCTGATCTGTGGCCAACCCCTCTGGCCCACCAAAACTTGACCTTTTTGAGTTTACTTTGTTTTGACTATCTTGTTCCTGAGTAAAGTACATGGACAGATGTTTCACAGATGTCTCATAGCCTCATATAGAGACCTTTGGTTTCTTTATGTGTGTCACAACCTCTAAGGGCCAAGGAAGACCTTCAAGTAAGACATCCTTCAAGATAAGGATGTCTCCCTAGAGGTGGGAGAGGTAGAGTGTTCAGGACCTTCCTGGGGAAGCTGAGAAGTAGTGCTCCTGGGAGAAGGCATGAATGATTCTTGGGAAAATTTTCATCAGTGCAACAGCCCCAAATTGTACAAATACTAAAAGTCCCCCAAGTATGCAACAGGCGGAGATCAAAACCAAAAGTGTCACAGTAACCATAATACAGCTCGGCTTTGCTGGGCTGTACTGATTTTATGACTTTTGATGTTCCCATCAGAGATGACTGTGCCGCCACCCCCCCCCCCCCCCCCGTTCACAAGGGTCTGTGAATATTGTTGTGTGGCATGTAGGGCATTTTTCAGTCCTCGAAAGATGACTGGAAGGACAGAAATCAAAATCAGGATTACCCCCAAATTAATGATAATAGACCAAAAGCTCTCTCCTGAGACAAAAGAAGTGAGCAATTGTAAACATCTATTTGTTACCTCAGAGGCCAAGGTGGACTCCAATTGAGCTGAACTAATGGCTGGTAATTTGTTGATGCAAACACTACATGTTTATAGCTAGTTCAGAATTGTTCCATGGGCCATGTAGGTGGGACCTAACCTATGTCCAGGTTACCTTAAAAGCATTGTATGGAAGTGGAGTGTCACAAATCCATTTAAATTGTGAATGACAGGAAACAGACATCTAGCTTTAATGCTTTGAATTTGATTACCCATAAATAAGACTGCTTCTTCCAAAGTGTTTACCCTATCTTCTATATTTTTACCAATTCTTTCTTTTCTTTTCTTTTTTTTTTTTTGTGATAAGTGTCAGGGACACGTTTTTTGAGAGTTAAATGCAACATATCTTTGCATCATAAAACAAATGTTCCACGGCATAAACAAATGTAATACATCTTCAATTGATATTCCACAATGTGTGTGGATGCACACACACATGCTTGCCTGTGTAGTGAAGAAGGTGCATGCTCTTATGGAGACCAGAGGTTGACACTAGTGTCTTCATTTATCACTTTTTGGTTTGTTTGTTTGTTTGTTTTTCAAGACAGGGTTTCTCTGTGTAGCTCTGGATGTCATGGATGTTCTCTAGACCCAGCTTTCTTCAAACACAGAGATCTGCTTCTTGAGTGCTGGGATTAAAGATGTGTGGCAGCATACCTGGTGAAAATATTTTATTTTCACAGAATTGTTAATTAATAGCTGTGTGTCTCTCTCAATCCAAACAAGGAACTGTCAGACAATACTGACTGTTGTGTATCCCATTGAGCATTCCCTTTATGCCCTGGATTGTGATGCTATAATTATTTATGATTTATTAATGCTTGCCTTATGATTCAGAAGCTAAAGGCAACTTTAAGCTATAGAGATCAGGCAGTGGTGATACATACCTTTAATTCCAGGACTCAGGATTAAGAGGTAGATGAATCTCTGAGTCCAAGACCACTCTGGGCTGTGGGAGAATGTATCAGAGCTCACACCTTTAATCCCAGGATTTGAGAGGTATAAAAGGTAGAGGCATTCAGTTTGAGAGTTAGCATCTAGCCACGCTGAGGAGAGCATAGCAGTGTGAGTGAATTTAAGGAGCAGTGAAGCTGGGAGAAGTTTTGTTTTATTTTTCGAGACAGGGCATTCACTCTGTAGACCTCGAACTCACAGGGATCTGCCTGCCTCTGCCTCTGCTGGGATTAAAGGCGTGTGCCACCAATTCCTGGCTGTTGGGAGCAGTTTGAAGACTGCCCCTTTTGTCTGAACTGAGGTAGAGGTAAGAGCTAGTGACTTGGCTGCTTTGCTTCTCTGATCTTCAGCTTGAAGCTTGAATCCCAATTATCAGTCATTGGGTC